GGGAGCGGGGCGGGGAGGAAGCGGTCGAGGTGGTGCGGGATTGCGGTTTGGTGGCGGGACGAGGCGGGGGCGGTGCGGGCCAGGCGCGCGCGCGACGCATCATCGAAGCCGCCCCGAGCCTTTGTCCAGCGCCGGCGACGCGCCGGCGCGCGCTCTGCGGTGCGGCGCGGTGCGGTGCGGTGCGTGCGGCGGGGCGCTCGTGAGGTGCAGATTACACGAAGCGCCAGCCGAGCGGGGGTGACGTAAGGTACACTCGCCCCCGCCTCCTCCCCCGCATCCGCCACGGTGCCCACTTATGTCCCCGCGCCCGCCCCCGCCCATCCAACATCCTGGGCGAGCGGATGGGGGGGGGAGGGGGGTGCCAGCCAACCCACTGCTGGCGGCCGGCGCGCCTTCCGACACCTGTGCCTTCGACAGCGGTCAAAGAGAACCTTTGAAACAAGACGAAAGGTCACTTTCACCCGCGTAAAGGGATTTTCTCATCTAGGGAAGCTGTCGTTCTAAACCTTTGCAAAATCTCATGCATCATCACACAATCACATTGCTTATATAAAATGTCAAGTAAATGCTATGGTTTTGGTTTTTAAACTAGGAGATTGCTTCGGAGCATTGTCCGAAATAAGTTTTTTTTAAATTGCGTTATGTTGTTATGTAAGGGAAGTGACGCTTTCAACTTACGTACTCCAAATTACCAACTTATGGCCTCATTTAACCCTATGTGCTGTCACTAAATCAACCGACTAGAAACATAATATTGTCAGTACAAAGGAACATCATGCTTTATCAAAATTTGCCATTTTTTAGTAAAGCGAGGAACTATATTTAGAAATACGTATATTTTTTCCTAGTAAACATTTTATAAATATATTTGACAAGGCAGTCTCGTTGGGGAGATAATGCTTCTCTTTGGCTGCGAAATAAATGTCTACTCTTGACTTAAAACCACTCTTCTGTAAAATAACACTTTTTGAGATGTGACATTGTACTGGAACAACAATGCACTCACTCTTTAAAGATACTTCTAACACGTCCTCTAACAGTAACAGTCTGATCACTAGGGCCACGATTTCTGTACAAATGCACATGTTATTTTAAAATTGAATAAAAATGTTAAAGAATTACCCATATAAAGCTATCTTGCCAACTTTCATTTTGATATTTTATCATTTTAATCATGATATCATATTTTTGCATATTAGACTTATTTCAAGAGGATAAGTTCAAACAAGTGAACATAATGCACTAAAATATAAAAAAAATATTTGAAGGAAATCTACAAGTCTTGGATTGGGGAGGCATTGTGATTTGTACTCGTAGTTTGCACAGTTCATGGAATACACCGCCGTTGTAGGCATCCAGTGATTGTTTTCATTTACTTTCAAATCTATTTCCAACAAGTGAAGATAATTCAATATTTACGGAATTTAAAGGTTATACCTACCTTTAAGTGAAAATAGAAAATTATATTTTAACTGATGGGAAATTTGTATTTTGTATTCTTGTGAAGAACGCATTTAATCTGAAAGAAAATTCAAAATTTTCTAGCATAGTCAACCACAAAAGTGAATATTTCCCTTTTGTAATTGTCTTATTGGATAAGAAGAAATGTAAACACAGGTGGAATCTGTGATTCGATTCACGCAACTGCTATCCTTAATTTGCTTCAGGAATATATTAGAGACAGAATATGGAATCAAACAGGAAGCAAAGTATGGCTTGTTGAAATCGCAAATATATTTTCGATTATCTATTTCAACCACCAAAAAGGGGAGCTTACATAATCTAAGAGCTGCACACGCTATTTGTTTCTCACGTTACATGTGTTGACATTCAGGAAAAGAAGTCTATTAGACAATTGAGTGACGTGAAGATTTAAATGAATTTACTAGATTTTAATGAATTTTATCACACTGTACCACATTTTAATAAACAAAATAGAGCTCTAAAATATTTTTAAAAAATCAAACGATCGAGCAAAGTTATAATTTCACATACTCTTAAGTACCATATGACAGCCAGCAGCCTCAACCTCAATTCTAAGGGGCCGTGAGATCGATGGCGGGCTTAGCACATCGAAATGCAGCTGAACACGCGCATACCTAGCAACTGTATTTTGTGACACTGTGTTTCTGAAATGGCAGAAGCTTATATCCCTTTTTGGTGAAACAAAATAAATCTGATACGTTGAGAGCGTAGGCTACCGCGACCGGAGTCAACAAATATTTGGCTGTCCGGGAGACGCCACTTCCTACGCACAGATGCAAATGTTTCGGTAGCGTTTTGCCCTCAGTAAGGTCGCAAAATAGCATGTTGTGAAATGTTGGTATCTGTGCCTAACACGTGGAGTGTCCCCAAGAGGTAAGTAGTTACAAAATCTGGACGTTGCCCGCAGATTGCTGCATGTTTGCCTTCCAATGATGACAGTGTACATCAAATAGCTTTTATTGATTATATAATACTGTTTCGCAGTCTGATACCTGCATGAAACCAATACGCCTCATAACAGTATCACCAATGTGTTAAAAGTAGCTTTAGTCTATTTAATAATTCATATTTTTGTACTACTGGCAGGTGGCAGGAATATGTTCGTTCAATTTTAAGCCGTATTAGCCGTAGAGATCATGTTACAGAAAATATATGCATAGAGGTCAACAATACTTTACGTAACAGTTTGTACATTGAACTACATTGGCAAGATTCGTCTAGTATGCAAGATACCTGTTCTCTTTAACCGTGTCATTGTTTCACGAAAGATAATCTCGGCCATAAAATCTGTCGTCGATTTCGAGGTACGAACGTGACCTGAAAAGCGGCACGATTCCACGGAGTGAACGGATCAGCCCCGTTTACCGAGTCCCCCTTTCCTTTCCCAAATCGTCATATCGAACGGAAAATCGAACACAAGTGGTAGTCGTGAAGTCTCTGTTTGCATCCCTTGAATTCTTTTGACAAAACATTTTTCCCGTGCTCGATTACTTGCCTAACGTCGGCCCTGCTCGTTGCCTTGGCGACAGGTAGGCGAGCGTATGTTTTTGGTGGTGTTCCGAAACTTTATCTCACTCGGAGAAGATCTGCTGTTCTTTTGACTACTTTTGACTATTTTTTCTTGGAGTGCGTTTTTTGGCTCTCATTTAGTTGTGTGATGCCTTTATTGGACATTTATTAGAAACAATAAGTAGAATAAAATATTTATAATTTTTTATAAGGTAACAAGTGGCGTTTGCACTACGGAAATTGTATTTACGAAAGCACATTAATATTGACTCTAATGTTTCTAGTTCCGTAAACTGTTTACATATCGAGATACTCTAAAATATGTTAAGGTATATAAGTAATGAATAGGATTGTCGCTGACTTCAACATGATAAACAGGCAAAAGGAAGACGCTGATTCTCAGGTTAAGTTGTAAACCCTGTATCTCCGACTAATACAATTTAGTTTGCAGAAAAATGAGGCACGGCGAAAGATTAATTCGATATATTGAAGGGTTTCAAATTTATTCGGGGAATATAATTAAGTTTAAGATAATTTCAGTAATTTATGGTGATAACTAAAACCCTAGATATAGTATATAAAATTATCACCTTCTTCAAAAGAATAATTTATTTTATGGCATACTGAATAGTATATATGTGATTAAATTTTACAATGAAATTAAATTCTTTGCAATTACTTGACGTTTACAATTCTGCCACGTTCATCTAACGTCTAACACGTCCGTCATGCAAAGACGTTTCATATTAAGCGTGAACAAAAAATGTCAGAATCTATTTTAATTTAAACTCTTGCTTTTCTTCATAAATGAAATAAATAAATATGAAAAAAATATTTGATGATTTATTTGAACTTACACTTATTTCACTATTGCCACCGTTTGTCAGTATTACAAGAGAACCAAGAAAACGAAGTGCGATAGGGCTTGGGGGAAGGAATTAATGCTCGCGATTACATTTTTTAAGTTTTAATAAATGTGAAGGAATGGTTTAAAAAACTGTGCAACGCTATGTTTCGTCGGAGGATCGTGAAATGGACAGATAACTCCGGAAGATGCCTACGAAAGCAGGCGGGATACTAATTTAGCCCGCAGCGCCTTCGGCAGTAATTAAGAACCCTCACTTTTAATCGCCTTGTTAAACGACGCGCAAACGTGGTCATTCCGGTCGGGAGCCGTTAAGCTCGTCGCGGGACCGTTACGGCGCGGGGCAAAACACTCGCGCACACACACACTCCCCCTCGCGAAGGCGCGGGCTTTACAGCGACGTAAAAGGGAGGTGTAAAAATACGCCGCGCCTCCGAGCAGGCCAATGCCGGTTGCGGGAGAACGCTCGGCGGCGCTAACGCTCGGCGGCGCTAACGCTCGGCGCCGACCTGACCTCGGCATTCGGCGAGGTGAGTGGCCACTTTCCGCGCCGGGGTTAGGGCGCGGCCCCTCGTGGGCCGGGCGCGCGCCGCCTCTCGCCGCAGCCCGAATCCGCTTTCGATGTTTTCGGGCGGCGAACACGACTCGCTCGGGGAAAGTGGACGAAAACGCCTGTTTACACTGCAGGTTATGCAAGTCGTAAGCAGAAATTCTTTCACACTTGGCTTCCCTTCCCTTGGTATCTGTTTTTTTAAAATGTTTGTTATTGTTAAATACAATTCGAGATTTATCGTAAGCCTAAGATTACTGTAACTCAGGTTCTTTATGATCTCTTTAAAATGCTTGTTTCTTGTTATAAAAAAGTTTTACCACAATATTTCCACCGAAATAATGAATTACATTTTGCATGATATATAATCCATTTTCAATGAAATGGTAATTCATGTGTTAAATAGTTTTAAAAACGTAATACTGATCAGAATTTGATTTTCAGTATGAGTATTTTTTTATGATTTCGTGAAAGCTAATCACTTTTCTTAATGACTTGTCATTTCCCTCGCATAATAGCTGAAAAATCACTTGTAAAGTACCTTATCTGCTGTAAAAGTGGGATAATTATTTGATAATGGTGTCTTAATGTGCTTTGAATGTTTTTATCAATTATGGATTAATAAAAAAACATTTTATTACAATATTGGTATGTTCTTATACAAAGATGTATTTATGTTTCAGGTAAATGGTTCACAGAAGACACTACTTCCATTTCTGTCGTCAAAACTGGCCCTAGTTCGCAGAAGGAGGTGACGTACTTTCTTTGTAAGTGAAGAAAATTTAATATAAAATTTTACCTTCAATGATGTTTTAACAAATCACTAATTAACAAATACCTTATTGACAACTGTTAGGATTCTTTCGCTGAAAAGCTCCTTTAACGAGTCATTTGTGAGTGACGTAATATGGCGGCAGTTGTGTCGGGGATTTCGCCGTTTTTCCTAGCCTTCATTCTGCCATTATTCCATTTTCGTAAAGTTTATCTACATTATTTATTGGGTCATTTCATCATTTACAGTTAGGTGATTAATTCGGCCTACCCAGTTGACGTCTTTATTTTCCCACGGATATTCCACGAGGCATTTCATCTCCATATGAAAGTCACATAAAACTGGAATTTTGAAATAGAATGAAGCCTTGAGGATTTTCCCCGCATTACGTAACATTTCAATACGCTTTGATTCTCTTTGCAGGAAATCAAATTTTAGGGAAATCCTAATGGGCGAGCAATACTTTTAATCCTCTGAAAGTCTTTGTAGCTTTATAAAGACGCTCAGTACCTATCTTTCTTCCCGCCACTTTGGGATAAATGGTTTTCAACGGATAGGGTGGTGATGAAATGATTTGAGTGGTGAAGAAGTACTGATGGAATGAGGAGCAGGGACAATGAAAGTCTCCAAAAATCTTGCGCGAACCCGCTCTGTCCACTGCGCACCTTCTACCTGGATCGTCTGGAACTTAAGTCCGGAGGTGGAGGCGAAAGGTGGTCGATCTGAGCACAACACCGAAGTTCACTTTTTTAGATGAGCAAGCAGAGGAGAAAACACATTTGGTAAATAAAGCAAATTTCCAGGAAAGGACCAGATCCTCCTCTTGTATACGAGGCGTTCAGAACACAAGGGAATCAATTTATATTAGCAAACGTGCAAAACAAGAAAAGATTTTACGGAACATTTAATTTCCGGGAAACATTTACACTATTTGGGTTGGAAGTGTTTAATCTGAAATATACTTCCTTTATAGTATCTGAAAGAAGGAGACAAAAAATTCCTCTGAAACGTCATGTTACGTAATTAATGCAATAAAATCATTTTAAAGAAGGTGATTGTCCAAATACTTTTTTGGACCTCTTCCTTTGTTGAGTATTAATGATTCCCTGGAGCTCTCAATGCCTGTTGTGGACACCAACAACCTCCCCACTCCACTAAACCGCCGGGGGTTTGCGTGTGCCGGCAACTGCGAAACCATTTAAAAGGGGATAGTCGCCCATACTTTTTTTGGACCTCTCCCTATGTTAAGTACTAATGATTCCCTTGAGCTCCTGTAGACACAACCAGCCTCCCCACTCCATTAAACCGCCGGGGGTTTGCGTGTGCCAGCGGCTGCGGCGGGGGCCGGCCAGTGTCGCAAGCTGGCTGTCACCGCTGCTCGGCGGAGCGTGAACCCTCGCGGCGGCGAGGGCGAGGGCGTCGGCACCTTGCGCGGTATCCGATCATACGCGGCCGCCACTCCACCGCCCCCCCCCCCCGGCTCCCTCGCCGCGGCGCGATTAGTTGCCCATTGCCCTCGAGACTCGCCTGTCTACACACCTGGCGCCCAGTGTGTGGCCAGCGCCTTTCACGCCTCTTGCCGGATCGCGGCCTGGGATTGAAGATTGCTTTACTGACGGAGGGGTGTACTTGCACGCACGAGCGATTTGCCTTAACTCAGTTGGAAAGTGCACAGAGAAGGGAAATATCTGAAAATTATATCATTGTATCAAAACTACTTTAAAAATTGAAATAGAGGAGAAATTCTCGTAAATAATACATAACTATAGTGTAGCCATTCAATGTAATGAAGTTATTAGAATGTTAAAAAATGGTAAGCACCTTTTGCCCGGCTTAGCGTACAGCATCCGACGGCAATATCTTCACCCCTCTACATCCTTTTTCAGCTCTTGCGCTTGCGCAACTCGATCTGCACATGCGCAGATGATAGAGATCGCTGTTGATTGGTGTAATTTACGCTCTGCAAGAAGTCCCTCGCTACTTGTAGGGAAGGCATAGTTAACATGTTTTTATTTAGTTAAAATAGTTAAACAAGTGTCCAAATGTGACTCGCTTTCCGACTTAGCCTCTGGTTTGTGACAGCAGGAAACGTGGATGGCGATGAAAAAGGAATGAATACAAAATGGTCATCTGCGCGTGGAAACGATATTTCTCAGCCTGTCATGGATGATGCATTTGGCTTAAGTATTAATATTCTTATTCTAATGTTATCGTTCCTCCAAGACGTTTAATAATGTTATGATAACGACTTCCGCAACACACATTCCTGCCACGCTGCACGCTATGTTTCTTCTCCTGGTTCCGTAAACGATCACAGATCTTAGTTTGGCTTTCTTTGCAATTACGAATCACAGTAGCCAATCTAAATTATATCATGGGATAAGTAAAGGGTAGCAATCGCCTTCCATGGCACTATCATGTGACGAAAATTGTTCATGCATTGTAAACAATTTGAATAACAAAAAATAGTTGATGCCTCCTATATCATTGCGTTTGCACATATTATTTATTATCATGCAGAAAATCGAGAACGTTAATGGTTTAAATAAAAACTGACATATTATTTTTGATATTGTTACCTTTAATTATTTATATTTCGTTTACATTTTCTAATGATGATACGTTACATCGGTACACCGTAATATCAACAGAGTGCAAAAAATATAGTAAGATTTTTGTTTTGGTTAACAGTACATGATATTTTCAACCATTTATTTTACATTGAAAGTCTCCAATTAGAAACAAATTAGAACTGAAATAGACGTGACTAATGAAGTTAACCACAGGCTAAAAGCGAAGTTTACAACCTTGCAAGATGAATTCTCACCAAAACGATTACTCTGTGTTTATTATTAAAATATTTCTATAATATTGTTGGTTAATTTCAATGAATTAAGAAATGCAATCTGTACTTTCTATTTTATTGTGAATAATTGTTTCTGAGAAAAGGAACTTTAAGTATTAAGTGATTACATGTCGAAAGATGCCAATTGGAAAAAATATGTTATTACCACTACTCCACTACAACAGTCCTGAACAATCATTCTCACTTGAAAGTGATGGCAAATAACAAATGAAATGTGAAAACGTCGATGCTATCAACGTTTAAACAAACCTACATAAACATGCCAAATTACGAATAAGACGAATGTTTATTTGCGGTGTCAAAACAGGTACGCCCTTTCGCACTAGGACATTTAAACCAGAATAAAAGGGGCTTCTAGATACTGACGAAGAAAACAATATTTATAACGAACAAGGTTTGACTTTTATTTGAACAAAAAAGGTCGATAATATGACCCGTTTCATGGTACAATCTCCCCTTAACGCCACTAGCTGAGCCGCTCCCTACCGCCCATTGTTGACGGCCTCTGCGCGGAGCTCGGGAGGGAGGAGGACGGTGTGTGTATGTGTGCGTGTGTGTATGTTTGTGTGTGAATGTATGTATGTGTGTGTATGCATGTGTGTGTGTATGTGTGTGTTGGGGGGGGGAGGCCGACGCGCCGGGGCGTGGGCCGTCGCCTTGCCCGCTTCGCCCACGGTCGCCCACGGGCGCTGCACCCGCCCCGCCCCGCCCGCCCACGCACGCGGTTCCCTCGACCTTTTCCTCCCAGCGCGCGTTCCCCTGTCAGGGCACGCACGATACACCGCCCCGCCCCGCGCCGCCCCGCGTCGACGACGTCCGGCAGCGGAACCTTGCGCGCAGCGGGGGTCTACAGAGCGATTTTGTAACAATGAGCCAAAGTGACAGGTCGCCAAACGAGTGAACGTCACATGTAAGGGCGGCGATGGTGTAATGGTTAGCGTATAGGTTAGCGTGCGGGTTCAAACCCGATCGACGCCGTGGATATTTAAGGGTGAAAAAATCCTTCGTACGCCTTCCTTCGGAGGGGAAGTAAAGCCGGCTGTCCCATGTTCGTAGATTTACTTGCATGTAAAATATCCTCAAGCCTAAATGACGCCTCTGAGCTAAATTTAAATCGCCTGTTTCTCGCCCTAGAAATATCCCCTTTCGCCGCTAGTTGGTGAAAGGAGCGTAACGAAATTTGCGTGATCAGACGGAAGAGCGGGCCTGATGACGCGAGTCTCGCCTCGTAAAATAAGTCATCAATTCAATTCAATGTAATTCAGAGAAGTATCCCTCCCCCGCGGCAGCTGTTTAGTCTCTTCGTAAAGTGTTTGTTTACGGCTCCCGTGAAGATAAACAGAAGTCTACGAGTTTCGCTTATGTATACGCACGTACGTGAGTCCGTGAAATATTGAAATATAATTACGTATGTGGGAAAATGTCTTGTAAACGTCTCATGGTGCCCTATATTTTCGTCGGACGCAGGTATCCCAAAAGGAAGCTCCAAGCCATTTACAAGTTAGCATACTGCAAACGAACGAATGGCGGAAGGAGAGTCTAATAGCCTCAAGAACACAACTATCACAGAACCTTCAGTTGTGTTGACAACACTCGCTGTCTATTCGGTCTACACGGTCTATTCTTATAAAAATCGCTCTATATTATGAACCGCAGGTCCTAGTCTTTTCGGTGGTTCCTTGAAGTGTGGTTTTGATGGATGAGTGGGATGATAAGACTTGAAAGCTGATGGAGCGATGGCGGAGCATTCACGCATGCATAATAATTCCCGGAGCGATCATTTTAATGACATACTCGCTTTTGTTTCGTTATTCATTAGGTTATTGAATGATTGTGTTGTATATTTGTGACCTATAGTATCACAAATGCAACATATTAGAACACCCTTTTCTGTGCATAATCGTTGTATTATAGATTGTTAATTTATTATGAAATACACTTTTTCGGCGTTAACGCAGCGTTATATGAAGGCAGGAAGTGAGAAAGAAGCACAAAATTATAAAGCCATGGCCAAATTGCCTCCTAGCTCTTGTCTTTTCCCATCCCCAGCTTCGTATCCAATGACTCCATGTGGGAAGCATGAAGGACGAAATGGGCGTGGCGGAATATCGTGCACTATTTTCAGATTTTTGTTCTCTACAGTTCTACTTTTTCGTGAAGTTATCGCCTAGGAATTTGGATACTTCTTCTTGTTTGCTCTATTAAATAAATACTGACTGCCTCAAACATTATTAGTAATCTGTGTGCGGATGAACCGGCGTCCCTAGTTATTGAAGGACGGGAAAGTGGGACAATCCGGAACATAAAAGTGTCTGTCACCCTTCAGTTTATTTGCGTCTTTGACTGAACAAATTACTGGAATCGAATACATACAGAAGAAACATCTTTCGGGTATAATAGTTTCAAATTTATAATGTAAAACGAATGTCAGTCAATATTGGACGAAACTTAAAATCATCTAATTCACATTTGATGACTCATCAGTGACTGATGACTTCGATCAGTTTTGATATTTATGACCAGATTTTATTCTTAATTTTTATCTCAAATAATTCCTATTTAGACACCTTCTTTGTAGGATTGTTAGTTTCTTAAAATTAAATCTTAATTTATATTCCTTAAAGATAATTTCCACAGAAACATGTGAAAATTACCCTCTAAAAACCTTGTTTACGAAAATGCTCCAGGGCAGCTTCGCACTAGCCATGAAATTGCCCAGCCGAAAGAGAACGCACATTTCTTTCGTCTTTAAAGTAAAACCAAGGAACTGCTGTTGCCGCCCATTACCTCCCCCGCAGCCCGGAGCCGCCCACTCTCGTTAGCAGTAAAAAAACCGTCCGATTAGCATAAAAGCATCTGGAACAAGGCCAGAAAACTGTACCCCGCTGTGGCGGCAGCAGCAAGGTTTTTGCCGCGAACCGCCGTTCGCGGAACGCAGGGGGACAAGACGCGGCGGGGAGCGATCCCGGGAGGTTCTGGGTCAGGAGCCACGCTAATGTGCGAGCGACCTTGAGTGCCGGCAGCTTCGCCGGCGCTGCTGGGTTTTGCCGGAAACGCGGAATAGTTCGGCGCACCTCGCGGCCAGCGAGCAGTGTGGATATCGCTCGCTCACTAATATGCATACAATCGCAGGCGCTCGCTTGTTTCTTCGGAATTATGCGTCCGGCACTTCGAAAGCGCCAAATATTAAAATATGCAATGTTTCGTAATTTTCTGGGTAACTTTTTTCATTTGTTTCATCATATCATACGTTTATTTTGGAACATTGCGTTTCTACTGGTACCGAAATATATAAGCTCATATTAATGTAATTTCATGTACTATTTGCAAAAAATAATATTTAAATGTTATCAAATTTTCTTTCACAATTCTTTAGATATAATCAAGCAGAATATAAAAGTTGTGTGAACAAAAATGAGGGAGACATATCTAAAGTTTCAAAGTACGATAATGTGAGAAAAATAGGTTTGTGATTCTCGCTGTGGAGGTTATATTTAAATCTCAAATATCTAGACGCTCACATAATATATTTAGAAATGAGGTGAAAATATTTACTTTTATAACATCGTAAAATGTGAAATTGAGATACTGTTGTCTTTAAGAAACGTTTGATAGCTTACAATGATCAAAATAACATATATGACACCCCTTCTTGGGTGTATTTGATGATAAAAACAGAATATTTAAATTTTAATGATTCCTTTCTACTTGCCGTGGGGTTCAGATTGAACGAAT